AATTTAAGCTGATGTCATATGAAGTTTCTCTTGATAAATTAAGTTGCTGAGTCTATGGCCGAGTGTCTTAACCACTGGCAAGTTGCTCCTAAATCACAATTTAACACCGAAGAGAGGTGAGGGCCAGAACCGCCGCAGGATTCCTAACACAGGTTGCTCCGTGCTCCACTCAGAACAGGAAGAAAAGCAAGAATACCATGTTGGGTTCCAAGAAAAAGAAGTTGATTTATTAATTTTAAAACAGGAAACTGGAATGAAATAGCAAACGATGCTTCATGCACAGGTCCCGTTCTCCCGGTGGAGTTCAGGCATTTCTTATAAATAGGACTGACTGCGTCCTTAGGGCAAACTCGAAGGAAAACAAATCATGCTCTCGGGATTCAGTTTGAAGAGAAAAATCCAATTCTCTAAACACAGGCCATGACTGTAAAACTCAGATTTTATAAATGGTGCTCTTTGAGTCAGTGGCTCCGTGGCTCTCACAGTTGACTTCAGCTGGGGAGGAGAAAACGCCAACTACTTTTCAAAGCTCTGTGTGGTGTGAGTATTCATTTCCCTTTCTAACATGGAAGAAGACTTTCTGGAGAAAATGTACACTTCCGCTAACACGCCAGTGTTGTCTTCTGGAAGCATGGTTTGGATCCCACTGCTTTCCTAAACAGCCTCTCTCCTTCCTTCTAGAAAGCGGCGCAGCCATTAGGCACAGTCCCTGTCACCAGGTCTTATGGGGTTGCCCTTAAATTTGTGTCCCCGAGAAAAACAGCAACAGAGTTTCTCTCCCCTCTTTCTTACAGAAGAAGGTGATTTGGGTCACACAAGGGAGGTGTGGGTTAACTGTGTCCCCCCAAAAGATGTGTTGCAGTCCTAATCCCAGTACCTGTGAGCGTGACCTTGTCTGGAAATAGGACCTTTGTACATGTAACCGAGTTAAGATGATGTTGGCAGGACGGGGTGGGTCCTCACCCCCGGCTGGTGTCCCTATAAGAGACAGAAACGGGCTGAGAGACACAGGAGGAAGGCCACATGCCTCTGGAGGCAGCGATCGGGGTGGGGGCATCTACAACCAGGATCACCACAGATTTCTGGCCGCAAGAGAAGCTGGAGAGAGGCACGGAGCCTCCAGGAAGGCCAAACCTGCAGACAGGTTGCTTTCTCACTCTGGCCCCCAGAACTGCGAGAGAACACATTTCTGTTGCTCTAAGCCCACTCAGCTGGTGGTAATGGGCTATGGCAGCCCCAGGAAACGTATACAGATGGTGACTACTTTTTTCCTTTAACAGGACACAGGAGGTGCCCAAGGCTTGAAGGTGATGTCCCAGCTCTGCGGGCAGCCAGGCTTCTGAGCTGGTGCCCTGAGGCCGCTGAGGAATCAGCGCCAGATCCCGTCGTGCACAGTGGTCTGACGGTGAACCCACAGCTGTGCCCATGCTGCCTGGGCCAGCTCCTCCGAGGGGCCGATCAGAATCCACCCTTGCCTGGGGAAAGCTCTGGGGAAGGGACAAGCCCTCACTGGGCCACCAAAAACAAAGCACGGAAGAGTGGGGCAGTACGTTCGGTGTAGGGAGCTCTAAGATCTCTGTGTAAGAGGAGAAATCACAAGGAATCAGAAATGCGGACATAAAACCAAAAATAAGGAGTGCGCTTTTCAAATCGTAAAGAGCTGAATACGCGTGAGGCTCTTCTATCACCACCATCCTACGGAGTCAGTGAGAAGACCAGCAAACCGAAACTTATTGATATTTCCCAGAAAATCGTTATAAAGTGTTACACTGTAACACCAGATTCTGGGTGTTCCGCCAGACCCCAGAGATCTGGAGAACAATCCAAACATCTGTACATTAAACACGCGGACGCATTTCCACCGGTCCTACCGCTTCCGGCTTACAGGTGTTCCTCACGCAAGCACTCGGTGACCGTGTGAAACCCACGTCTTGTCGACAGAGACGCTGGCACGGGTGGGAGGGGCCTCGCTCGGTCGGGAGTGGAGGTAAGTGTCTTTCCTCACCTGTGCTATTTTAACCTACCGTGTGCTAAAGTATAAAAATAACATATGCCTTTAAAAATGTCTACATAATTAAAATTAAGAATTTAAGAATCACAGGGGCGCCTGGGGAGCTCCGTCGGTTAAGTATCTGCCTTCGGCTCAGGTCATGATCTTGAAGAAGATGGAGCCCTGCATCGGGCTCCCTGCTCAGCGGGGCGCCTGCTTCTCCCTCCCCCGTCCACTTGCGTGATGCGCGCTTTCTCTGTCTGTCAAGTCCTAAAAAACTTACACAGAAGTAGAGCAGCGACAGGCCTCGAGAAAGCACAGACCGGATGCTACGGAAGTGGAGAAGCCAGCACCGGACGAGGAGCCCTAGGGGAGGTGTGACGATGAGGGTGGGGATGGCACGCATGCCAGGGGAAGGACCCGACGCCAGGTGGCTAGTTACACAGCAGACAAGGGATGAGGGACAGTCGGCTGGGGCTGAGTTCCCACGCCAAGCCGAGCACCGTCCTGTAAGTCAAGGGGACAGGGGACAGGGCCACAGCTCATGAGCCTACCCGAACCCCGTGTAATGGAAGGGGCAGACAGGCAGTCAGGAGGCCTTCACGGGGGGTGGGGGGCGGGGGGGCCCAATTTCGTGATCTTACAGCTGCGCATGATCCCCAGCCCCAGCGACCTCCACCCCAACCCCGACCCCAGCGGACGGCCAGCGACGGCTGTGACTGGGCACCTGTCCTGGCTGGTTGGTGTCTGCCCTATCCGGGTTCTAAATCCTCGGGCCACAGCCCTGTCCGCAGTCCAGACGGAGTGGGTCACGCTCCCTGAGCGGCGGCTGAGCCCCTGAACGTGAGGCGTCCCCAGAGCTCCCCGCCCCCACTTCCCAGAGACTCCCCTAATGTCATCACGGTTTTCCTCAGCCCAGGTGAGGAGGCTTCTTTGTTGCTGGGGCCACTCTGGCTGTGTCTTCGAGGCCACATTGGTCTGCCCGGCGCTGCGGGGGGCGAGGGAAGCCCACAGGGCTGGGGGTGGGGACATTAGTTTGCTCAGAGGCTTACAGGGTCTCCAGAGTAGCATCGGGGTGTGGGAGAAACACTTGGGGGACGAGGTTAACAAACGCTGTGGCGGGCCGGACAGGCGGGTCTGCGCTCATCGCCGCTGGGAAATGCCGGGGGAACGGAACTGCTGAGACTTCATGTTGGTTGTTGAATTGGACTTCTTAAGGCAAAACTCCGCTGGACCAGTGGGGGCTCCCCAGCTGTGGGGACCCTCCGTGCGCTCTCAGGGCCCCCCATGCTCCTCTTGCGCTCTACCCACCCCCCACAGTCTGAATCTCACCCGTGCCTTCATCTGAAGAGTCACTTCCTCGGGGAGCCTTTCCTTGCTTCTTCATCCCCAACACGACCCCAAGCGATCGGATTCCGACATCGTAATCATGTGAAACTTTACCCCGCGGCAGTCACCAGCAACACGGGTGGGGGACACCGGGGGCAGGACCCAGATTAGTTTCGTGGTGGCCAAGTCTCCCCTCGCCACGCCCGGGGCCATTCTAGGCCGCACCACATAAGTCTTTGTAGAAAACCCCCTTTTAAAAATGAGGTTTTGATTAGGTTTCAGAGGCCAAGGTTAATTTGGGCCTTCGAGTGACTCTAACCAGAAAATAGGTTAATATGAAAAGAATATTTACAGAGAAATGTTGTAGACCAGAGGGCTAGTTCACGCGGACGCTGAGATGTGGCGACGCGCTAAATACTTAAATGGAGTCGAGATGCCGGATCCTCGTCTGGCACGTTCTTCTTTACGTTCCCTTCCGCCCGGCCCTTCTGGGTTTTGTGAGGACGCTGCGGGCTTCACAGTTACTTCCTCCTCCTGGAGCCCCGGTCCCGGCCGTCTGCCGCCGCGGCTTCGGTCAGGCTCCGTCTCAGCTCCGCGCACGCAACTCCCCGCGGACAATCGAAGCATCGGACTCTCGGGTTCTTTCCTGCTTTGGCTCCCAAGGTCTCAGCCACTGGCCGGCTGCTCCCCAGCACGCACGGGAGAGCGGGGTTTGGTAATAACCTTGGAGGGGTCAAGGGGGGCTGAAGTTGTACTTCAGAGGTCCCCCAGCCCCATCCCTATTATCTTGGGAGAGTGTCTGGGGCTGAGCCTGGGGTGGCCCAGGGGCGGCGGCGTCCTGTCATGTGGCCTCTCAAGGCTTCGGGAGTCATGAAAAGAGGGTGAGGTCGTGCCCCGGCCAGCAGCTGGCAGAGGCTAACAGAGACCGAGTCCAGCAAAACTTCTTGTTCTCCACCATGGCTCGTGAGACGGAGCTGCTCCTGGCCAGGTCCATCCCGCCTGCCGCGGCATCTCACCCTCTGAGGTGACCTCGGGGGCTCTTCTTGGAGACATGATTTGTAACAACCATGTGTATTAGCGCTTACCTTTGCATGGGTTCATACCTTGTCTTTCTAGGATATGAGAACAAGATGCAAAATACCGGTTTGTCCACTGTGGGACGTGGCTACCGTTCTGTGTATGCGGACTGGTGTGATCGGGAACATTCTGGGATAAATTATCCATGAATTACGTCACCGGAGAATAATTTTTTTCCTGAGACTGTTTCTATCACCTCCGTCCTTAAATATGCATGAAAAGTTGATCTGTGAAATTCCTTTATTCCCTTTATACATGGCCTACGTCCATCAAGGTGAGAGGCACTGACTCGCCCACTCCCCAGGACCGTTTGTGGACAATGCTGAACTCTGGGATTAACGGCGTGCAAACCCTCGGATGGGCTGTAAAGCGTGAGGGAAGGTGTAAGACCCACGGAGAGGTGGTGCGGTGACCTGCTGGCGGTCCCCCATATCGGCCACCGGGCAGGACCTGCCCTGTTCTGGGACTCACTCCCACCATCGACCAACACTGCACTTGCTGGCGGTCCCCCATACACGTGACCCGTGACATACCCTGCCCCCGTTCTGGGACTCGCTCCCCCTGCCCCCGCACATCTGGACACTGGCCGGCCGCCCCTGCTAACCTTCGCACTTGAGCAGGAAGAAGTCGGCGCTGTGGCTGAAGGACGCGCTGAAGTACGTGCAGTTCTCCACCAGGTCGCAGGACAGGCACTGCCTGTTGAAGGTGCCCACCGTGCTGGCGCTGGAGGGGCAGAGACAACAGCCGTGAGCCCCGCGGACAAGGTGCAGACCCCACGGTGGCCCCGGAGTCCCCGATGTGCTCCAGAGTCCCTGGTGCTGTGCCTGAGCGCTGGGCCCCTGGCGTTCATCTCCTGAGATCGCCCCAACACTCGGATCTGCGTCCCCCTTCCTGGGGGCAGCCCCAACTCTGAGGAGCTCGCAGCATTTCTGCTCCCCGGGGGCGTGCTCTCTCCCCCCGGGCGCGCTTGGTCACCTGCGCCTTCATCAGGCCCATGCGTCCCCAGTGTGACGGGGCTCAGTGCTCGGTGCACTTATTTAGTACCTTGTACCCCGCCCTCTGGAGAAGAGGAGTTGGCTTTCCGCATCTCGGACCATATCCGAGCGCCCGGTGCTGGCGCAGGGCGCATCAGGACCCCCCCGGGAGCCCCAGAGACACGGGCTGGACTGAACTTGGGGTGCACCCCAGCGGGTTTTCCTGCAGGGTGGCACCGAGACCTGGTGCTCCTCACTCGGTGGGGCCGGGGGAGCGGGACCCCGTGACCACGCTCGTCTAGCACAATGTCACGTCAGGAAGGCCTGAATTGTGTTTCCAACCTGAAGATACGGGCAGAGCCTGGCACACGCCTGGGGGGAAGTTCCTGCCTGAGCATTCTGCAGGGGAAGGGTCTACTCTGACCCCGGGCCCCACCGGAAACCTGTCTACAGCAGGATGATCCCTCTTGCTGGACAGAAGACAACCGTCTGGCCTATGCGTAAGGTAGAGGGAAAGGCACACGGTCCGTCTTGATCACCTTCTGTCCTCGGGGGGACGAACTGAGCTACGTTATCTGGACAGACATGCACGGCTGCATAGAGAAGCCTGTGACCCCACGGCTTTGCCAGAGTTTTCTTCCTTCCAAAAGGACTCGGCCAAGCCTGTCTTTCACTGTCAGCATATGCACTGGTGGGCGGGAGGGGACGCACTGGTCCCCGTGAATGGGCTTCTCCAGGGTCCCCGCCACGGGGAGAGGAGCCAGGCATCAGCTACGTGCAGACCGAGTCATGCTCGCAGGCCCTCAGGTGCACACAGAGCTGCTGCTGTGTGAGGGCCACCACCAGCTGTCACGTCCTAGTCGGGGCAACACCGAGGAGGTAAAAGTTGCCCTATTTCCACCTCTGGCGATCCCGTCTCAGAGTCTACTACCTGCTGCGGCCAGAGCAGTCACTGGGTCGATACTGAAGAGGGACCCGCCCTAGGACGGCCTCCTTTCCAGGATTCAGATGTTGCCCCCCGCCCTCCCCTTCTCTGAGGTTATGGACCTGCCGGTCACAACGGGTGGGACGCAGAGACGGCAGGGCCGGCCGCCAGCACACACGCCACCAGACCTGCCTCTGATCAAGCCCAGTGAGACCGAGCCCTGCAAATCACACTCGAACGACGGTGAGGAGAGCCCCTCGGTCACCAGCACGAGGAAGTGAGTCGGGGGAACTTGTTCCGCAAAAGCAGAAAAAGAAAACAATAGCTCCCACCGCGGCCGACGCCGGTCCCCATAGTTCCTGCTCATGCTCTTGGGACACTGCAGGGACGCCCTGGGGTGGGTCTGCCCTGCACCTCCCCTCCCCTCTCCCCTGCGGCACAGGGCGCACCGGCCAAGCCGAGAACCCCAGGGCAGTGCCCACGTACCTGTAGAGCTGCCTCCTCCGGGGCAGGTCCTCCGTGCTCAGGAAGTAGCTGCAAAGACCAGCAGGTGAAGAGGGACGAGGGTGCCCTGGGGGAGGGCCTGGGACTTCCGGGGGTGCGTGGGGACAGGACCTACTGTCCCGCTCAGGCCCAGCCCTATGGGCGTGCAGGTGGGGAGAGCCGGGGGCTGGGCAGGGCTGTGCTGGGGTCAGCGGGTCCCTGCACTCAGATGCAGGAATTTCTCTACAAGACCATGAGGCTCCTGGAGGGCCAGGCCCCAGCCAGGTAACCTCGTAAAGCCTGGGGCAGTGATGTGGAGGTGCCCACCTGCCCTGGGAGCTCGGGCGGGAGCCCGGACTCTGGTCCCAGGATCAGAGAGCAGCTGCGAGCAGCATCCCGGCCCGGCCTCTGCCATCTGAACTAAGCCCCAGCTCCCCCGTCACCATAGAAATAACTGAATCGCCTGGGCTCCGTGGCCTGACCTCACTTTGTCTCAGCTGACTTGTTTTTGGACGGGCAGGAGGCAGTAAACGGAGCCCGTGGAACCGCGTGCGGGACGAGAGGGTGCTCATGGGGCACTCTGTGCACCGCCTAGAACTCGCAAACGGCGGGTCCGGCCACTCGGCTCCCTCTGCTCAGGGTCTTGCAACTTCGGAAGTGGGGCCCTTGAGACACTGGACCTAGGGAGTCCCGTGTCACTGAATGGAAGGGCCCGGGGCTAGAGGCCGGCCGTACTCACATCTTATTCCGCTTCTCGTCGTAGGACAGGATCTTGGTCACGTCCCAGTCTCCGGAGGTGATGGACTGTATGTTGTCATTGCTGCTGTTGGGCTGGAGTACCGGACAGGATGTGGGGGAGCTGGCCAGCCCGACCCACGCTTCATTCCTAACCCCGCACCGCGAGGGGGGGGTGCCGTCTGTCCCCCTCTCCTAGCCTGTCCACGAAGCCTCAGCTGACCACCCCCGGGCCCCAGCCCTCTCCCCTCCTCTGCAGGTCAGCAACACAGGGACAGGCAGAGTCTGTGTCGGTGGAAACTGTCGCCCGCGACCCCGATGGCCTCCACCCGTGACACCCGTGACACACGTGTCCCACGAGAGACAGGAACGCTGCCCAGGCTGCTGAAGCTGTTCTTTGCAGTGTGTGACTCTCGTTACCTGAGTCATGGCTATAGGGAGACTGGAGGGAGGAAAGAGAGGGAGATGGGGAAGGGAGTGGGGGGCAGGCGAGGAAACAGAGACGAAAGGGAGTCAGGGAAGGTGGGAGTCAGGGGAGGAAGGACGGGGAGAAACTGAGGGGGAAGGGAGAGAAGGAGGGAGGGAGGGAGGGAGGGAGGGAGGGAGGGAGGATCCGTTTCCGCCGGTCTCCGCAAGGATGATTTGAAACCGTTTTACTGAGTGTTGCACTCTTGCTCCCTGAGTGCCTCCCAGAGTAGAATAATTATGACAATAAACCGTAAGGGAGGGACACACGACCCTCTCAGCAGGAACACTGGGATCTGGAATGGGGTGTGGAGGGGCCGGTGTGAGGCCCAGGCCCGGGCTGCTGGATGGCAGGTGCTGGGGGAGGCAGTGGGAATCGGACACTGATTAAGTCAGGTGGGGCCCGTGGGGGTCTCGGGAGCAGGGAGAGCCTGTGGGGGCGGGCAGGAGGTCTGGATGGCAGTGGGGCCTGAGGGGCTCCGGGGGAGTGGGGTGCCCCCCTGGATGGTAGGGGACCCCCCAATTCCGGCAGGAATGTTTCCCGGGCACTTAGGAAATGCTGATCACGTGCATAAATTCAGAGCCGAGGCCAAGTGAGAAACAAACACTTGGCTAACGTGACCCCAACTGAGCAGACAGGATGCGGGGCTGTAGGGAGCAGACCACGGTGCGCGACTGGGGAGGGGGGCCAGAGAGTCCGCTCGGCCCCCGCGGATGGAAACTGGGCCCCCCACAGTCACGGCCACTCCCCGTGCCTGTTCCAGGAGGCCCCCCACACATGGGGCGTCCTCGCCGTGTTCTTCCGAAACGTCTCTCGGCTCTGCCTGTGACATGGGCCTTCTGTGTACTGTCTACAGGAGGCTTTCGGTGACTGTTTCAAGTCCAGCGCTATTCACCTCGCCCGCACCGCAGGGACTGACGCTGCTTCAGAAATGGGACCCACGCTCGGGAGATGAGGGTCATGGTCCCAGAAGCGCCACGCCCTCTCCCCACCGCCTTCCGAAGGGCAGCGTTCCCCAGGACCTCGGTGCCGCAGGTGGGCACCCCCCGTGGGTACCCCCCTCCGCTGCTGGTTCTAGACCTGCCAGGCTCTGAGGTTCCCTGCTCTGTGACGTGCTGCGCAGGAGCCCCGAGCCCCCAGACGGCAGCCGGGTGGCAGGGGGCAGCCCCACAGGTGAGGGGTGACTGCATGGGCGTTCCCAGAAGGCTGTGCCCTGAAGGCGCTAGACCCTTGGGCCTGGGACAGAGGGTAAGGGGACAGCCCAGCAGACGGGGAGGAAGACAATAGATCACCATTCGAGGTTGTAGACCAGGGTTCTCGGGTCCCACTGCCTGCTGTGACCCGTCAGAAGGGTCACCATATCTCTGAGTCATAACAGGAAGGGCCAACGTGACCTGCTGCCCTGAGCAGGACCCCTGGACTTCATGAGCCCCATTCGGCCCCAGCTCCGGGAGCCTTCCATGTCCCGACCCTAGGGCTTGCTCCAGGGCCCTTGCTGGTGACAGGGGCACAGAGCAGCCGCCACGATGGGCTGCCACCCGCACGGCGAAGTTTTAGGAACTGTCAGGATTACCTGGGACGATGACACGGTGATGTGATAGAATTTTCCTTGTCCCCCCTGTGGGATGGCTCGTACAAAGAAGAACTTTCGGCCGTCCTTGGAGAACACCGGCTCTTCATTCTGGGGACGAAAGCAAAGGACGGGGTCCATAAAAAGGCTTCATTTTGAGGAGGTTTACCATAGCAACAAACATGTTGAGATCCATTTTCTCTCTAATTTCTAATGAGAGGTCCAGTGGGAAGAACCAGTGCTGGGTGGGGCCTTTCCTCTCCCGGGGAATTGGGAGTCAGACCTTCTCTCTTCCAGGAGGGAGACTGAGGAATCAGCAGAGACCGACAGAAGGATGGCCCACCGGGAGAGAACACCCCCAGGGTGGGCTCGTGAGCGCACTGGATCACGGGACAGGGCCGGCCGGCGGTGCGGGAGGCTCAGCGTTTGCCGAGTGCGGGGCACGGCAGGCGTCTGTGGGGGGCAGTGGGGCCGGCATTTATCACCCACCACGAAGAACGCGGTTCTGATCACTCCTACGCCTGATTTTCCCTAACACGAGTTCTACACATCCGGTCCTGTCTTTTGTTCTTTTACTTCATAAAACCCATCTCGCACGGAGGGGCCCAGCAGGGAGACAAGGAACGAGAGCGAGAAACAGCGAGCGAGGACACATTTCACGCGTTCTGAGACGCAGGGGCAGGGACCGTCCTCCCGGGGACCTCTGACTCGAGGCGCGGGCTGGACAACCCACGTGCGCCAGGACCCGCTGCCCTCCCGGGGGACGGAGCTGCGGGCTGGGTTCGAAGCGAGGCTGGCGCGTGCTGCCCCCATCTCTGCGCGGCCCCCCGACGACACCGGGCAGCCCTGGGGTCCGGCCGCCGCCTCGATGGGGAAAAGGCATTTGGTCCAGCGGCTGCTGGGCCTCTGCAGGGCTCCGGCCTGGGAGTCTCCACCCGTGAACGGCAGCGAGTCGGCTACGAGGCGTGTTTTCGGACTCCGAGAGCTTCACGCTACCGCGGGCGGAGCACACGGGAAAGACGCCCCCGCGGGTGCCGAGCGGGCTTCCCGCGGTGAGAGGACGCGTGTGCACAGATGCGACGCCCCGAGAAAGAAACGAACACGTGAGGAACGTGACATTTAGTCTTCATGAATGTGCGCAATGAAACGAAACCTTCGACCTGCAAACATCTCTTCTCCCATTTACAGCAGGCAGCGCGGCGCTTACGCAGAGGGAATGGGAAAGCGAGCGGCGACTCCAGCTTTTTAAACGTGCTTCTGTTTGCCAGCGGCGGGACGGATCCTGCAATATGGCCTCGGTTTTCTGGGCGAAATGTTGGCCCTTTTGGCAGAGGAAAATTCTCCGAATAAAGGTAGTAATTAGTCCTGGCCAGGTGCTCTGCTATTACGCCGAGAAGGCCCTCGTCCCGTTGATGTCGACCTTACACTGGGGAGGGAGCGTGTGCTCTGCCCGAGCCGCTCTGAGACCTGGTTTCTCGGGCTGTACCTGTGTTCTTGGCGAGAAAGCCCAGGGGGTGTTGAGGAGGGGATCCCGATGTTAACCCTGCTTCCGGCTCTCCTGGGCCTTGGGGGAAGCAGTCTAGTCTCTCTGGGCAACAGGGAGCCTACGTCTTTCCATGCCACTCGCAACACATCAGTGCAGAAGGGGACTCCTCGTGAGTTCTCCATATCGTGTCTGCCAGTTCTTCCCAGAGAGAGGTTCAGATACACTCACCTTGCCCAATCTCCCAGCCTGGATCCTGAAATCACAGAACCAAAATTCTGGTAAAAGCTGGAAGACGATCGGACGTTGGCCCATGGGACCAACTCTTCAACCAGAGGATGGGTTCTGGGGCTCTACCCCAAATCCCCATGGATCTGCATCAGGACAACATTGCCAAGTCGTGGCGGTGGTAATGGAGTGAGTGTATGTGTGTGTGTGTCTGTGTTGGGGAGGAGGCTGCCTATTCTTCTGGAATATTCCTAGAAGAGAGACAACTGGGTGGACCTCCAACCGTGGGACATATATACACTCGCCTCCTCTTGGTTGGCTCATGGGGAGCCCCACAGGGTCCATGTTTTAGCCTCAGAAAGCACAGGGGAGGAAAAGAGAGGGAGCGGGGGCTTGGGTCTGCTCCAGCCCACCCGTTTCCCTGGCAGCCAAGGATCAGAAGACCGTTGATCTAAGCAGACTGGGTCTCCAGAGGTAGATGGGATGTCCCAGACTCTGGTTCTTTCCAAGGACACTGTGTCCTGTTTGAGCCGGTGTAGCGTCTGTGCCTGCAGCCATGAGCACACAGATGTCAGCCTGGAAGGTGTTCCCAACTTACACTCCAGGACCTCGCGGAATCTTGAAGGATTTGAAATGCTCCAGATTATTCTGTGAAAGGCAGGGTCCATCAAATCCTTTAGGAATCATCTCTTCGAAAGCCATGTCATGAGACGCTGTTGAAACTGGATTTTCCGACTGCCCCCGGAGGAGCTCTGTGTTACTGATGCCAGGGGAGTGGTACCGTGGAAATCAGGGCCTCCCTATGCTCCCCGGACCAGACCCGGGGAAGCACCAGCTTAGAGGAAGCGATTCCTTATGGGATGTGTTTGCTTCCACTCAAAACAGCATCATGTAGTCTCTAACAGCTGTTTTAGAAACATTCGCTGTTTGCTCGGTGAGTGCCTTCAAGGCCACATTTTAAAAGTTGTAATTCTTTATGCTACTTTTTTAGTGCTGACTTCATTTTGCTGGGGAAGGTCTGGTTTCCTAAGTCCCATCTGGGCTGTCTGTCTGGAGCGTGGATTGTGTTCGCAGGTAGGTGACAAGACGTGCTGCTGATAAATACAGAAACCTCCCAGCGTGAACGGTGTCTCTGCAGCGCCAGTGGAGAGGCCCACCAAGCCACTCAGCCCTGCAGACCATGGACCCCAAGGACCAGCCAGGATGGTGGGAGGTCAGGGAAGCCGCCGTGCGACCAGCAGCTCCCCCACTCCCAGAGGGTAGCACATCGCTGGGCTGCCGCCAGGAGCTCCCCTCACTCCTCCTACTCAGGCACAGAAGCTGCCCCGACTCCAGGAGGTTGGAGGGTCCCAGCGCTGTCCCTCAGGTCACACTCCCTTCTCCCTGCTCCAGCCCTGCTGACCGCTAACACTTGAACACATTTCCTGAACATGTCGTAGGATGACTTCCGCTGGCTGCACGTTGGCGTTGGACTCCTGTGCGCCTCTCATCTTCTTCTCTGCCCGGTGGGTCTGTGAGAGTGGCAGGTCAAGCAGATTCATTTAAAGAAATGTATTGGGGTCAAATTAACATAAAACAAAACACTTTAATAAAAGTACATAATTAAGTGGCAACTAGTATGCTCACGATGTCGGGCAACCAGCACCTCTCTGGTTCCAGAACATTCCCATCACCCAGGAGACAAGCCCAGGCCCTTGAAGCTGCTCCTCCCTGTCCCCTGCCCCCACGCCGGTAGCCAGCAACAGCTCCGTGAACTCATTTATTCCAACGTCTCATGTTCACGGAATCACACAGTGGGGGTCCTTTTGTCTGGCTCCTGCCCCTCTGCAGAACGTTCTTCTGCTCAAGACGGCCAAACGGGAGAGACGGCCCCAATGCCCCTCGACAGGTTAACCAGCTGTGGTCTATGCAGACAACGGAGCGTCGCTGAGCCCGGACAAGGAAGGACGTTCTCGCACTTGCTAGCCGGGGGCTCAGGAGAAGGACCTGACGTAAGTACGGGTCGACCAGACGACCAGAAAGATAACGCGTTCTCTCCTGATTCTTCCTGTCCACCGCCTTGACGTTTGTCTGATGCAAGTGGACCACCAGCACGCATGCGTGATATCCGTGCTCACGTTGCGGGCCGGGCCTTCAGGAACTTCGCAGCACGACGCCGGCATCCTTCCCAGCTCCTGCTGTAGGGCCTGGAGCCCTCGCTCATTCTCCGCATCGTCTCGGCTTGGGCCTGGCAGCCTGACTTCTGCGCAGGAAACAAAAGTGGGCACTCGGGCTCGTCCTCTTCTGGGGAAGCCTGGCAAGGAGGAATCCTGAAAAGCAGTCGGGTCCCCCTGTGAGGCTGCCCCCCGGAATTAGGGACGGGAGGTGGGGACAGACCGTCCATCCCACATAGCGGAGGTGTCGGCAGTGGGTCCCTGACCCCGGCTGATCCCGTCAGTGAGGAAGGACACCGGCGCCCGCCCCACCACGATCCCTGACCCTCCAGCCCGGTGCGACTTCTCCCACCAGTTCTCAGGCCGTGTTCCTGCCAGGAGGCTGGGCAGGAAGGAAGGAAGCGTCTAAGACACTCTCGCCTTTCTTGGACGGGGTGCAGGTGAGACAAAGCGACAGAAAACACCGGTGCTGAGGGCTTCGCTATTTTGTGGCAGTTCGACCATTTTTGTTGGGGCAGAGGCTGTCCCCGTCGGCCTCTCCGACCTCCTGGAATCCCAGGCCCCCAGAGCTTGTCTAACGGGCATTTCTGACCCACATCGGGATGGGAAACCCAGGGGGGACTCTCAGCCAGGTCCCCAGGAAGGCTCAGGCCGCACCACTGCGGGGTCCACCTCACCTGGAACCCCCGAGAGCACGTGGAGAGAAAAGCCGAGAAAGATGTCTACTTTCTTCTGGATGGGGCAGAGCAGACTGGCCACTCCTCTGGCCTCCTCACGGCCTCCAAAAGGCCGTCCCTCTGACTGAGCCCTGAGATCTCATCCAGAGAGCTCAAGGCCATCTCCTGTGGCCGTGGGGTTCTCCGGTCACACTCAAGGCCACGGGGAGCAGGGGTGAGATGGGCCGAGGAGACCATGCCTCCCACCGGGGCTCGAAGCTCCGCGGCTCCACGGGGGGTGGAACGGGAGGAGCCTTCGGTGGTGAAAACCCAGGAGGCCAGCACGGTGGTGGCGGACCTGGTGGCTGGCACAGACAGCGTGGGAGCTTCGACAGGAGCACTTACCTGTCTGTGGAGCCAGGCTTCGCTTTCATCCTCATGTTTCTGAAATGGAACAAGGAGCATCAGTGAAAGGATGTCTTGTTTTTGCATGTTTTGTGCTTGTGACCAGCTGGTCGCGAACAGTTCGATTCCCCTTGATGGGGATGTGCAAGCACAGATGGGGCCTCCGCCCGCCTGGGGGCAGCGTCCCAGCCCCACACCGGTGTCCCCGAACAAGGAAAATGTTCCTCGCCCCAGCAGCGAGGACCATGTACTCATGGCGGGAGGAGCCCCCTGGAAGACGGTGCCCTTCTACCCCTGGGGCCCAGGGTCTCAGGTGCCACATCGGTGCAGGGTATGTGCGCACGTGTGTGGACACTTTGCACACGTCCAGTTCCCAGCTCTGAATGACAATCCTGGCCGCCCAGAATGGTACAAGGACTGAAAGTGTATATGAAAACTAAATGCCCGGGGAGTGTGTGGAAAGATCCACAACGGGAGACAAAAACAAAACAAAACACCAGCGTGACGGCTGGGCAACGGGGGGCCTGCTCCCCACACTGGTCTGACCTCCAGCTGCCGGGCGTGGGGGTGGGGGGTCCTGTCTGTGGACCAGCGGCAGGAAGGGGTTGCGTTGCTGACACGCACAGGTCGGGGCACAGATGAGATGAAGGGTAGAGAACCAGCAATTCCCAGCCCCCGGCCACGCGTCTGTCCCTTCCCTCCTTCCCTTCCGTGACCCCATCAGCACAACCCAGAGTCTGATCTCCATCGTATCAAGAAACAAGACACATCCCTGACCTACTGGAGGCCATCAGATCGCTGAGCTCACCCTGACACTGTGCTTGGTGTGGAAAGAGCTGTGCTCCCCCCCGTCCCCCAAACACAGCAAAGCAAAGTGGCTCTGCAGGTGTTTTCCTCCCCAGTTGGGAAATAGAAATGTATGGTACTAAAAGGAGCTTCTGAAAGACATGCCTGGGTTGATTAATGGAGTTTAATGGATTTTTTTTAAACCTAATACTAGGAGGTCAGCCTGCTAGGGCTCGCCCTGGAGTGCGGGGATCTGAGCCCACACAGCGGAGGACATGCCCGCTACAGGCCAGGGGCAGTGGAGGGGCCGGTTCCTCTGACCTGCCCGGCGGCCAGGCCTCCGTTCGGATTTCCATTCTTTCTCTCTGCTTCTGTGCGCATTTTCCACTTTGTCTTCCCTACATTTGTTTGCCTTCTCTGAGTCCACATTAAGTCAGGCTGAGGCCCCGAGGGACACTGCTGCCCTCACCCGTGCCCTTAGAGGCAGATGCTTGCCCACCTGGGTGCTGACCCACGCAGGGGTGCACCTGCTCCGGGCGGGTGCAGGACAGAGCCCACCCAAGGGGGAAGCCGGGCTGTAGTGCTGGCCCTGCCTGGGTTCCGGGGCCTCAGGCTACCCCTTCCCCTCTCTGATGTCCACTGGAAAATGAGGGGATGCTCGTGGTGAGACAGGAGCAGGCACAGGTAAAGGGGAATAACACATCCACGGACGGCTTGTGTGCCCTAATCCCAGGACGGGACTCCTGGGTCGCTGAGCAGGGAGCCGAGAGGTTTGCAGCAGTGCACAATTCATCCACAAGGTGGCAGCAAAGCAGAGGCCAGCGGGGAGGTCCCCACCGTGGTTGGTGCCCAGTGACTTGCCCAATCCCCCCGCTCATTGCGACCTCCAGGCTCCCCGCCATCGGTGCCCCCCGCCCACCGTACCTTTGTGCAGACCCCAGTGGTGGCGTCGCAGAGGGTGAGGATGGACACGTTCTGCGCGCGGCTCAGCCAGTTGACAGCGACCTTGGTGCTGGTGGCCCACTTCACCATGGTGATGTAGTACTCCCTGAAGGCACACAGACACGTGGCGTTAGGGGTCTTGGCCATGGCCGCCGGCAGCCCAGTGCCTCCCAGCCCAGGACGCTGGGGTCAGCAGCGCACGCGTGGGGGATGCACGCGGCCCCGGGGCTGAAATAGGGCTTCCGGACCTCGTGTGCTGATGCTGAACTCTGCTGGGAAGCCGGGTCACCGGTGCGCAAGGAGCCCCGCGGGAGTGTGGTTCTGTCCAGGCTGCGACCACAGTGCGCTCGGCCCAGCACCCAGCTGCCCCTCCCCCAGAGGGCGACCGTGTCTCCTGCTGCCCCATGGGGTTTATAAGCCAGGCTGTGCCCGGCTGACCCACTAGCTTGGTTTTCCTGCCCCGGCTCGGGGCAAACTCACACCTCCCTGGAGGCAGCAAGGAGGTCACACAAGGGGCCGCAGAGCGAGACCGGGAGGGGCTGGAGAAAGAGGCCCTCGCGGAGTGCGAGAGGCCATGAACAGACAGGGGTGAGCAGAGGAAGGCACCGTGCTCCCTTTGCCTCTCCCGTGAAGGCACAACGCCCAGGGGACAACGTTCGCCGGCTAATTAGGGAAATCGGTGCATGGCTCCGGGCACCAGCAGATACCCTCGTTGTCACGTGCCTGCTTTCCCTGAACCTGGAAATATCACAGTGTTCCAGGCTACCCTGTACCTCGCATGGACGGGGAGGGTCCTAGGGCTTCTGGTAATTAACTCAACCACCCAGAGCCCTTCGAACACGGGATTTTTAGGGGAAAAAAAAAATGGTTAAGAGGAAGAAGAAAATACCAAGAAAACAAGTGTACAGAAAGACTATCCCGAGGAGAGCTCCAAGAATGTTCCGGAGGCCCGCTACCCTGTTCTGTCACCTGCCCCATCTATCTATAATGAGATCTATTGTTCAGAATGATGACTCTGTGGTCTTACGAGATCCTTTATCACCAGCGACAGCAGCACGTCCACTAGACAATGCCCTGCAGGCTGGGCAGGCACGTGAGTGCGCCCAGTGACTATTTTCAACAGAAAGGCCTAAATCACCAGGTGCTTTCCACTAAGCTTGGGTTAAGCCACAGGAGATTAAATTGTTGTGTCCCTGTTTCTCAAATCCACCTGCTAATCAAAACTCTAAATGACCGAAGTCAAGAGCTGGCTCAGGCTGTCCCCTCCCCCCGCTGGTTTGCAGTCTTGGCCCATCTGCTGGGGATGTGGCTGGTGAGGATGTCACTCGGGCATAATCCAGGATTTTCAACATTCTCAACTGCTGTGATTTTTGAAAGAGGGCCGGATCCGCTGCGGCCATCTGCACAGCAAGCCGTCAGTCCGCGGAGACGGTCTGTGTGTCTACAGGACCTGCCTTCTCACCCAACAGCATCAGGCTCCTGCTCTGACAAGGAGCACGGCCTTTTAGCAGGTCCTCGCGGACGCTGCCCCACCTGAGGGCTCAGAGCCCGTTTCTAATGTGAGGTTCGATGGGCTCCCTGAGTATCTGCGGGCACGGAAACATTTATCTCGGCTCTTCAGAGTAACTCAGGGTCTGTGCCTGGCCCCTGCTTCTCGAGTAATACTTTTTATTTTTAAATTGCAGCACAAATGACCCTTGGATCCCTGCTCGGTAGATGCTAGAGGCCGCTAGCTGGAGGGGCCACAGGGACGGACGCAAGGGAACCCCTGCCGTCCTGGACCGTGGGCCTGTCGGACCCAGACGATCATATTGGGGGTGTGGCGTGGGAAGTCACAGTGACGAGCCAACATGCTTCATCTGGATGAAATCAAGGAGGAGAAAGTCAGATCTCCTGGAATGAGTCATTTTTTCCTCCCACGGCCTCCACACTGGTTAGGGAGGACCCCGTCCTTGGAAACACTCATCTGCTCTACGTGTCTTTCTAATCTTACGGTGCCGTTCTGCACAATCATCATATTGACCCAATATAAGTCTTTCTCTCCTTTACTCCCCTAATTTGTGATCTGAGGCGTGTTGTAGAAAGGAGGAAATAATCGCACAACAGGACAGTGAAACCTGGACCCACCTGGCGTATTTGTGTGGACGCTGGCAGGGGCCCGGATGAAGGGCCGGTGCGGCGCCCCCCGGGGAGCCTGCGGGCTTTGCTTCCGCACCTTGATGCGGAACGTGACTCTGCAGTCCCTCATCTACATCATATGAATTTCAAACAAACTGGTGCCCCCTCAGAGATTTTACGGCGAGAAAATAGAGTGAGAAATTCTTTTTAGAAGTCTAGAAACAATAGAAGTTATGAAGGACTCCATAAAGATGACCTAATATATCTCCGTACACGTAGGCACACTGCCTCCCCATTGGGCGGTTTCGGGACCCCGAATCGTGTCGCTGATCGTCAAGGCCCTGGGGAGCCTTCCACCTGAGTCTCCTTCAGGAGGTCACACCGACCTCATCCCTTGTACAGCAACACCTTGTCTCGAACCAACGTTTCCCCATCCCATGAATTCCATCGGTGACTGGGCTGCGTGCCAAGTACGGTCCAGCTGTGAAGAAATCAAGTCAAACGCAAAGATAAAGCACCGTCATGGATGGGTGATTTACAAGGAGCCACCAACTCCAGAGCCTCACAAAGGAGTACCGCTCAGGAAAGAAGGACGCGGTTTCGCGATGGGAGATCTGGAGTCCCACCATATGTTTGTGGAAAGGAAAATATGACCTTTACCCATTTCCAAAATTTTTCTTAAGAAGAAATCCTCACGTAGATAAGAAAATTTCTCTAGGTTCCTTATACACTTCCCATTTTCTCCAATTTCAAAGCTGTTAGCTTAATGGTTACACGTGGGAAATGGCGCAGATGGGCTACGGGGCTGGTGGCAAGGACCAAGGCCATCTCCGTTGGGCTGCTGGTGGTGGCTGAGGGGGACGATCTGTTCCATGGCCCCCTTTCAGCGTGGACCACATGGACACACGAGGGCCTCCAGCACTCAGTAGCATCCGGTTGGCAAATCTGAGGTAGCCTTTACCAACTTAGTGTGGATGTGCCTCTAAACCACACACATAAAAGACATAAAATCACGATACCCCTAAAAGGGAGTGTTGAAAATCTCTAGCAACCACAGCGCAGATAGAAGCGCATGAAGCCACCTGGCGGGCTGCCCACCCCGTGCCTCACTCTGCGAGGCAAGTGGGAGAACAGGATTCTCCTCCCAGGGTCTCATCCTTCCTCAGGAACCCTGACCTTGCACCACCCAGAAATCTGGGAAGTCAAAGCCTTGCTATGTCCACGTCACAGAAGATCATGATTTTTCATAGATGTCTATTGACTTAGAACGTCAAGAAAAACCCACAAAAAAATTATAAAGAAGGCAGAAGAAAACATTTGACTCTGCCCAGCGGAGGCACGCCAGATGGATTCGGGTGAGACTCAGTCTTCCGATTCCATCGGAGAAGGTTCAAGCAGCCCCCAAAGTTCAGAGTCAAAAATAACCCTCCTGTGCCATCTGTTGTCAGGTGTCAGGCGTGGGCGGCTCCGGCTGTCTCCTTCCTGAGCTGGAGAACGGCAGAGGTCGTCACACAACCTGGATGAAGGAAAGGGGGAATTACGCCAACAGCATAAGAGCAGAATAGAGTGGGACGCCCGGGTGGCTCAGTCGGTGAAGCGTCTGCCTTCAGCTCAGGTCATGATCCCAGGGTCCTGAGATCGAGCCCCACATCAGGCTCCTTGAGCATCGGGGAGCCTGCTGCTCCCTCTGCTTGTGAGAGTGTGCTCTCTCTCTCTCTCTCTGACAAAGAGACTCTTTCTTTGAAAAAAAAAAGAAAAGCAGAACATAACCTTAAGAATACAGGATCAGACGAAGAGGAGGAATAAAAGGTTCTAGGGAAACCAGATCCGAAGGTGAGAGAGATCGGACTCAGAGACCTTGAGGAAAATTTGGGAAGCTCTCCCAGAAGGCAGAGGAAGTTGCCACAGAGGCAAAAAGAAGGAACAGGGACTGTTCTCCTGTCCCGGGATGTGAGAACTTATTACAAGCTTATTATTAGTTTTTTACTTTTGCATCAACATGGATGGGACTGGAGGAGATTATGTTGAGTGAAATAAGTCAAGCGGAGAGAGTCAGTTATCATAGGGTTTCACTGACTTGTGGAGCATAAGGAATAACACGGAGGACATGGGGAGATGAAAGGGAAAAATCAAGGCGGGTGGAGGTGAGGGGGGAGATGAACCATGAAACTGTGGACTCTGAGAAACAAACTGAGGGTCTCAGAGGGGTTGGGGTAAGGGATGGGTGAGCCCGGTGGTGGGTACTAAGGGGGGCACAGATTGCACGGAGCACTGGGTGTCAACACAATGAATCATGGAACCCTGCATCAGAAATTAATGATGCACGGTATGTGACTGACATGACACAATAAAAAAAAGAAAAAAAAAACCCAATGCGTGGAGTTGTCAAGAAACAGGTTGGTGACGTGGACAAGGTGGAGTCTGTGGACCAGCACATGCGGGGACTCAGGGAGAGGGGCTCCCGGCCACACTGAGTTTGCAAGAATGAGATTTTCCTTTTGAGCTCCTGAAGAAATGAGTTGACACGACAAGAAAAGCGGACAGGAGAGGGCAAATCAGCAGCAGACACTCCATCAATTAATTACCTAGCCACGTCAATGAAGATCTAACTACACATACAAGTGATGAGATCAGACGGATGGGCCTCTCTGGTCCCAGCTACAGATGCTGAAAATGGGCAGGAAGAGACTCTCCGGACCCAGCAGCATTCTCCATGAGGTCACAGTCACCCCTCCTTCCTCAAAACGTTCCCAGCACCGGCGATCTGTACCATCGTCTCTCAAATCATCAGGCAGTGACAATTCTCCTTGACCATTAACCAGGCTGGGACCCCCTTGGGGCAACGAGCAAAGGCCATGGCCCTTACTAGTCTTGATCCAGGACCCAGGCTTGGGTACCTAGAGGAGAAATCTATGCAATTCTTACAGCTTGGCACATACCGTCTCTCGAGGGGCGATGGGGAGGCAGTGACCGAGGAGAACCCAGAGG